CCGCTGCTCTCCGGGGAGACCGTCCAGCCATGTCTCGCTACAGCCTGCACAACCTCCTGGACTGGATGTACGGGGGGGTTGACCCCAGCTTTGCCGGCAACGGGGGGCCCGAGTGCGCCGCCTTCCTCTCGGGGAAGCAGCGCTTGCTGGAGAGTTTGGTCTTCCTCAGCGTGGGCATCGTGGAGATCCTCGTGTCCCTGTGGAAGCTGAGGCAGCCGCATGTCAGGGAGCTGGAGAACCTGCTGCAGCAGCCCCAGGCTAAGCAGGAGAGCTTGGGCAAGAACGCGCTGCTGGTGCTGCTCTGCCTCATCTTTGGGCTGGAGGTGGGGTTCAAGTTTGCCACCAGGACTGTCATTTACCTCCTGAATCCCTGCCATGTGGTCACCATGATGCAGGTAAGGCTCTGCGCGAGGTCACCTGCAGGTTTGCTTTTGTGGTGTACTTGCAAAGCAATGTTTTTCCTGTTGTCTATGGACCCAGAAGTGCATAGCAAAAGTACAAATGCCAAGAATTGGTATAAGCGTATTAAAACTCAGGTTTTAGTTGGTCGAATTGAAATCTACCAAAAAACCGAAGTTAAATGAAAAGGTGAAGTTATAGCTATGAGTAATGTCAAGCCTGTGGTTGAAAAATTTAAATAATCAAGGCTTCATCACCACTTGGCTCTCACCTGATCTTTGTTTCAAGAATAGAAGGTGCTGTTTCCACTGACAACAGTGCTAGAATTTGCACCAAATCTAATGAAAATGAAATGATTGCTAAAGCAGCTGTGTAATTTTTGTGTAACTTCTTCAAGCAAGGGACTTATAGGGGTGTGAATGTGTTTTGTGAAGGTGCTGAAGAAACAAATTGCTTTTTGTGCAGACAACGTTGGTTTACCTTTCTAATTTTAGAAGCTGAATGGTAGAGAAACAGGTGCCACCTGTGTCTCATCATGGGGTGAACAAACCAATCTGGCCTAATACCTGTGGATAAACCATGTGCTTTCATGACTTGTGACATGGTTGGTGGTGTGTGATAATGTCCAGTTTGTGTAGATTTCAAAATAATGGATACATAAACAGTTATTAAACTGGGATAGCTAAAGCTTATAAGCTGTGTTTGTTAATAGTATGTATGTAACTGAGTGTGGCAAGGAGCATGGGCGATGTCAAAAAATATTATTTTGTTTATTTTTGCTAATACTGTACCCTCAGCACTGGGCAACTGAGAAAATTCAATCTCAGGAATTAATAGAGGAATGTCAAAAAGGCTTTCATAAAAGCTGATGTGATAACATCTGTCTAAGATCAGTAAAATCGGATCAGTGCCATTCTTGGTCTCCCATTGCAGCATGAGAAGTGATCTGGGCTGAATCAGATCAAAGCAGTTGTTAGTGTCACACCTGGAGAGCATTTCCTAGCGTGAATGGAAACATCTCTTCTGGTTCTGTCAGAGGTTTGAGGGAGATGGGTATTATTTGATGAGGCAGAAAACAAGGTGTTTCAAGACCTTTGCAGCTATAAACTTACAATTCTAGAAATTAATTAGTAGGTTATGTAAATTCCTAGGCCGTGAGGCAATGTTTGCTCAGTAGTTTACAGCATAAGGCACTTCCTTATGGTAAAGTGGTAACGATTACTGTACAATCAATTAGTTAGTATTGGGAATGAAGGTATGCAAGGACTGTGTAGAAACAATAAAATAGTACAGCCACATTCCATTTCTAGGCAATACTCAGTGTTTACTGGGAAATTTTCCTGTTAATTCTCTGGAAAGGAGGTAAGGATATGTTACCAGTAGGATCTGAAACTCTAGTTGACTTGATACGGTATGATATGATGTTATGGTAAGTATTCAGGAGAAGCTGATGTTTACACAGACCTGAGGGAGCTGGCACTGTTCTCCTCTTTCAATAATGCCTTACCCCAGGAAGATGAACACTAAAGCTCTGTAGTCTGGCATGGCCAGTTCTGAATCTCTTTTCTGACAGATTGTGAAGCCTTTTTCCATAATCCTGTGCTAATTACTCATTAGAAATGGTGTTTCAGCGTTTGTGAAATTGAGATGGTGGGTATGTCAGCAAAACACAGAAGTCATGCCTCTTCATCCTCAAAAAGATGTATTGGAAATAGGCCTGGGCTTAATGTAGAGAATGAAACTGATGGCAAACCCTACAGCTTTCAGCAG